TATGAATAAAACTTAATGGGTAAATTATGCAAGTGGTACCTGTAGTTTGCACGATATGTCAATTTAGTTCCTATTTGTTAGATTTTTATTCTTGGCAACCCCGTTTGACAAAACTCTTTTAAGTTGTATTTGTTTTCACACTTTTTATTTCAGTAAGGCTATGAGTGTTTAGATGCGAATCCAACCCGAATTGTACCTTGCAGAGAAGTTTGTGATGTTAATGCTTTCAAAATTGCCACATCGCTGATTATGACGGGGATCGAGCTGCCCGGTCAGCTCGCAGGAGTCCAGGAGGCAGCGCCCCTTGGCGGGTCCGAGGCAGCGCCCAGGCGGGATCGAGAGGCAGCGCCCCCGAAGCAAAATGCAAAATTGCATTCAAAGTTGAATGTCCGTCCTTGCTCGCTCGATCGAAGGAGTCCTCGCTCGCTCGATCGAAGGAGTCCTCGCTCGAGCGAAGACTGCGTCTGGCAAAAAACCTGAAAGAGATGAATGTGCGCTCAAGCGAAGCTTGCGGGGCTCGAGCGAAGCTACTTATGGAAAACACGCGCTTTTGGTTCCTCGCTCGAGCGAGAGAGTCTTCGCTCAAGCGAGCATCGCGATTCAGATTTCTATAAGTACAGATTTCTGTCAGATTTTAGGATTACTTCTCCAAATCTTCTTCTTGGGTTCTAGAGTTTATATCTGGGAATATTTTGCTAGTTTTCCTTGATGTTTTGATTGAGTATTCAACTCATGGTTTAAAGAGTATACATCAAAGGATTATTTGTTTGTTCTACACAAAAGAGAGAGTTGTTCTTCGGTGGATTCTGAAGAATTCGAGCCTGAAGCTTTGGTGGATTCCGGAGTGGCTCATCATCAAGACAATTCCGAGGTGAAGACGGGGTTGAAAGAAACACATAGAGGTTGGTTTAATTCGGGCGTGGATTCGCTAGGTAATTGAGAGTATACCTGTGTAATTCATTTATATCTTCTTAGTGGATTGTTTTGTGGCTGTTACCCGTGATTTTTTTATCACAATTGGAGGTGTCCAATTGTGGTTTTTCCACGTAAAATCGTTGTGTCGATTTGTCTTGATTGTTTGATTGGGATTGTTGTTTACTGCTTAGAATTGATACATAATCACAAATCAACATCTAGGGGATTTCTAGATTTTTCACTATTATTTTAATTTACTCGATTTTGCCCATTAATTTAATGGATTGTATCATATTGGTCCAATAAATAACGACCGTTAGGTTTGGTAGACAGAAACTCAAACGATGTATCAATTTGGTTCCTGTAGTTTACATGATGTGTCAATTTGATTCCAATCAAAATCGAGCAAATTAAAATAACAGGGACCAAATTGACATATCGTGTAAACTACAAGGACCAAATTGATACATCGTTTGAGCATGTGACAACTTTTCGTCCACTAAACCTAACAGCTGTTATTTATTAGATCAATATGATACAATCTGTTAAATTAAGAGGCAAAATTGAGCAAATTAAAATAACATGGACCAAATTGACACATCGTGTAAACTATAGGGGTCATTTACATAATTTATCCAAACTTAATTTGCTACATTTTGACCGGAGCAATCGACGATCTGGCAAATTCAAAATTTAGAGTTCTTCTCTTCTCTGTCTCTTTCAACACTTGAAACACCACAACATATAAGAGTTTTAGAAATTAAATTTTTTGGTCTCTAAAAGTAAAAATTTTGTTGCAAAAGACATTTATGAACCAATTTCTATCGTACTAGGAATAGTCGCTAAAAGGTCGTCCCGAAAAATCAAAAATAAAGCTTTTAGCGACAAAATTTTAAAAATATCACCAATAAATACACTTTTAGAGACAAAATAATTTAGTCTCAAAATAGTTTATTTTTTCAAATAAAAAATTTGGTCTAAAAAAGATAATAATTTATCATTAATGTTCAATTTTCATTGCTAAAAATATAATAACGATACTTTTCTTCCAACAAACTGTAAAGATAGGTAAACAATTTAATTTTAGTTGACTGCATACTTCAGGAGAATGGCTTAGTAGTTCATTAAGGCCAAATTTGACTATCCTAAATAAGTACACACTTTTTATCTTTTTATCTTTTTATCTTTTTTCCATCACATCATCTCTCTACTTTTTTGCACATCTTTTCATAAAAAGACAAAAAGTACACTTATTTAGGTCATCCCAAACAACTCCTAAGTTCACAAGTTCAAAATTAAAACTAGGCTATCCATTTATAAACAATAACGTTCAAATCTCAAAGTTAAAGTTAATAGGTATACACTGTTGCATTCTAGCCTCATATTTGGAATATGAGTTTCCGAGGGAAGCCACATGACAAAAGCATATATATAGATAAGGCAAGGCCACCACCAATGTTGAGAAAATTGAACTGCATAGAAATCAAAATATCCAACGAAATATTATAGTTAGACACTGGATTATTAGTGAAAAATCATCCTCAATTTATTTCATGTAAACCTTCCATGTAAACCTCCAGGATGACCCATTGATCGTTGGTTTTGACATCTACTCAATGATTAGTTAGTATTTTTCTTAAATAGCACACGTCATAAACAAGTTTTACTCTTATCTAATTGGAGTAACAAAAAGAGAAAAGAAACAAAAAAGACTATTGGGTAAAGTTTTCACTCCATATGAAGCACTCGAATGGCAAAAACTAATTTTTACTTTTCTTTTTAAAAATTCCCACCATATCCCAAAAATGACAATTTAGTGGTGATTTGGAAAGTTTTAAATAAGTGTACTTTTTGATTTTTTATGAAATATGGGTTTGGTATGGGTTAGGTTTGAAGTGACGTTGTAGAGAGGTGATATGAGTTAAATAAGGTTATGCGACTTAAATAGAATAATGACTTTTTGACTTTTTGACTTTTTAACTTTTTTAGTAAATGCCAGATAAGACCAAATGAGTTTTCAAATGAAACAAATATAGCCTTTGGACATTTCAGTCAAGATTTGAGTGTCCCTTCATTTGAGTAAAAATATGAATAAAAACTTAATGGTTAAATTGTGCAAATAATCCTTGTAGTGTATGTGATGTGTTAATTTGGTCCTTGTTATTTTAATTTATTCGATTTTGCCACTTAATTTAATAGATTGTATCATATTGGTCAAATAAATAACGACTGTTAGATTTGGTGGACGGAAACTCAAACGATATATTAATTTGGTCCATGTAGTTTACATGATGTGTCAATTTGATCCTGGTCAAAATCGAGCAAATTAAAACAATAAGGACCAAATTGACATATCGTGTAAACTACAATGACCAAATTGATATATCATTTGAGCATGTGACAACTGTCTATCTACTAAACCTACCGGCTGTTATTTATTATATCAATATGACACAATCTGTTAAATTAAGGAGCAAATTGAGCAAATTAAAACAACAGGGATCAAATTGCCATGTCGTGTAAATTATAAGGACCATTTACATAATTTATCCAAACTTAATTTGCTACATTTTGACCGGAGCAATCGATGATCTGACAAATTCAAAATTTAGAGTTTTTTCTCTTCTCTGTCACTTTCAAAACTTGAGATAGGGATTCTTTTAATTCTTCTTAATGTAATGTTATAAATGAATATGTGCTATAATTTATTGTATGAAAAGTTGAAAATTTGTAGGGATTTTAAATACATATAGTGATACCTTAGGATTGGAGATGTTGTGTGTTATTTTTATGCCTTCTTGTCACTTGCGAGAAGATTTGAGTCTATTGGACACTTTAATGACAAAAGTCATATAATTTATTTTGTATTGATTAATTTGTATGTTATTTAAAATGTAATTGTCTTTTTTTTAATTAATAATATTGAAACTTTTTTAGTTATAAAATTCTATTGAGTTTGATTTTCAAAATCTATTTTTTTTAAAAAAAAAAATTCTAAGAAACTTAAAAAATATCATTTTTATATAATTTTATCTCTTGAGAGGGTAGAAATAATTTGTTTTCTATTTATTTTCGTTAATTTACTTCTATTTTTTCAAAAGTCAAACATGACAACAACTTTAACGTTATTCTTAAACCAATCCTTTAAATCAAAAAAATCTAAAACTACAAACATTTAATATATTAAACGATTACACATTAAAAGCCTAATAACCATTCATTACATAATAACTATCCAAAAAATATAAGTTAATAATAAATACAATTATCTATCACATGATAATCGTAAAAAAAAATATCAACAAAAACAACCACCCATTACATGATTTTCATCCAAACACATACTAAAAATTAATTTGGTAAAAAATAAAAAAATAAAAATGTAAAAGATTTATCATTTTTATATGATTTTATCTTTCATAGATAGAAATAATTTTTTACATTTATTTTTATCGAACTAATTTATATTTTATTAAATTGACGATTTTGCCTTTGAAATGGAGTAACAATGTCTTTAATTGTTCATATTTAAAATGAAATTTAAAATTCATAGTCAAATGTATCATAATCAAAATTCATGAATCAAAATGACACAAATGTCAAACTATAGAATCCATTAAACTAATTCACCTGATAATAAAATTGATGTTTTATAATAATACCAATGTAGTTATCTTTCCACACAAATTGGAGATGTTGGCTTTTAACTCTTGCATATGGGAGAAATCCAACATCTGATACATGAATTTGTTTGAGAAGAAGGATTGAGTTGGATTCGGAATTATTTTAGTCATAAAAAGACAATAGACTTTTTAGCCTAATAAAATAAAATATCGCATCCAATTCATAATTATTATATTTTTTTTTCACAAAAAGTCAAAAAAAAACAAAAAAACCCTTCCCAAACGAAACTTTTTAACCCCAGACTAAAAAAACTAAAAAACTAAAAAATCAACCCACTTCTCAAACAAAATAGTGCATTTTAAAATTAATGCCATGCAAAATTTGAAGTACAACACTACCAATTTGTGAGAGTAATAGACCACCATATATTACCAACAAAAGGCAAGAAACAACAATATCAACTGATCAAAACCTAATCACTGTCATAAATTTCATCTTTGATGCCATGTCAAAATTTTCAAGTACAAATATCTCTACTTTCTGTTAGAGACATACCTTATACATTTACCACCATTTCCTACACGGTCTCCGCCAATGGCCAACAAAAACATATGTCTACGATAAAGAATCAACAAAAGAAAACGTAAAATTAACATCCTGCTTGAAACACAAATAAATAAGAAAAATCATACCACAGGGTGTTGAAAAATGAGACAATTTAGTACTGAAATTTGGGTTGGCAAATTAATCAAACCAACCCGCTTTACCACAACCCAATGAACTTCCACCAAATCCCTCCAACACCGAGCCAAATAATAATATTGACGACAGAGATGACGAATCCGTAGCCCCACCATTTGGCCAGGGGAACGTAGTTTGCACCATAGAAGACGGGTGCAGAACCAATCCCATAGTGGGTGAGGCCACCCATCAAGTTGGACAAAAAAGCAAGCACCATAGCTCCGAAGTAGGGTGGGGTGCCTAAAGCACTGGCAACGGACAAGAATGCTGTAAACATTGCACCAATATGAGCAGCTCCGCTTGCAAAGAAGTAGTGAGAATAGAAATAGAGAAGAACCAAGATGCCGAAAGACAGCTGCCATGAAAGACCCAATCCGCCAACAAACTGCAAAGATAGGTAAACAATTTAATTTTAGTTGACTGCATACTTCATGAGAATGGCTAAGTAGTTCATTAAGTTCACAAATCAGAAATTAAAACTAGGCTATCCATTTATAAACAATGATGTTCAAATCTCAAAGTTAACAGAAAGTTATTAGGTATACACTGTTGCATTCTAGCCTCAGATTTGGAATATGAGTTTCTGAGGGAAGCCATATGACAAAAGCATATATAGATAGGGCAAGACCAACACCAAAAGGTACCCTGTAACTACGTTAAGAAAAATTGAACTGCATTGGACTCTATTGAAAATATAGAAATCAAAATATCCAATGAAATATTATAGTTAGATAATGGATTATTAGTGAAAAACCATCCACAATTTATTTCACGTAAACCTCCAAGATGACCCATTGATCGTTGGTTTTGACATCTACTCAATAATTAGTTAGGATTTTTCTTAAATAACACACGTCATAAACAAGTTTTACTCACTTAACCAGAAAAAGAAAAAAAACAAAAAAAAAGAACAAAAAAGAAAAGAAATGACAAGTTTTATTCCTATCTAATGACTAACAAAAACAAAAACAAAAACAAAACAAAAAAAGGCTCTATTGACTACAGGCTTCACTTCATATGAAGCACTCCAATGGTAAATACTAATTTTTACTCCGATTATTTTTAAAAATTCCCATCATATTTCAAGAATGGCAATTTAGTAAATAAATGAATTTTCAAGTGAAACAAATACAGCCATTGGACATTTGAGTCAAGATTTGAGTCTCCCTTCATTTGGGTAAAAATATGAATACAACTTAATTTGGTATGAGTTTGAGCCAAGGAGTGGAGAAGGGTTTGGAGTTTTTTTTTTTTCTTTGTTTTTTTCTCCAATTTGATTTTGAGTCAACATTTGGGTAAGGATTGGAAATTCCTTATGCATTTTAACCATGAAACTTAAGTACATCATCAAATAAGCTGTGGTTTTCAACAGGTTAGGCAGGCCTGAACAATCATCACAAATGGTATATCCAGGAAAGGCATTTGTTTTAGAGAAACCACTTTGATATGGAATGTAGTGTAAGCCTATTTGGTAAGACAAGTAGTTAGGAGAGGGGAGAGAGAGAGAGGCAATATTTGCAATTAGTAAAGGGGTAAGAGTAGAAACCTTAACAACACTTTGACTGAACCAGGATATAAGACCATATTTGTTCAGATAACCAGCCATTGCAATGAGTGCAGCAAACCATGTGAGAGTATCCCAGGCAACTGATTCAGCTAAGCATTCCTTCCATGTCACAACCCCGGTTATCAAGAGAACAGTTAACCCAAGGATGGCAGCTGTAACGGCATCCACATTCAGCACCCCTCCAAATACCCAGAGCCCCACCTGACACAATGGAAAACAGAAAAAAGTGAGAAAGTATACAATACGAAATACCAAAACAGATATAACCTTAAAAACAAAATTATCATTTGCCTATGATTCATGCGAAAAGATCCAAATGAAATGAGATAATAACAATGTCAGTTGGAACTACTGTATCCAAAGTGACAGTAATCAATAGATCACAACAGTATATGAATTTGTCAACAAATGCTCCCACAGCTGCTAACATCTGCATGTGAAACACCAGCAATAACTGGATTCAAAGGCTTGAATTGAACAAAGGAATTTTGCAAAAACTAGTACATTTCAAAAGCAATTTATCTAGAATTAAGTATAACCAGAAGCATGCAGATTAAATAAGAAATTTAAATGGTTGCAGTAGCTTTATTGATGTTTAATTGCACAATGTCAAACTCAGGCTCAACTTTAGGCAATAATTTCTAGCTGCCAGATCCATCAACTTATCCCACAGTAAAACCTAGAGCACAGCAGACAGTAATGAAGAAAACAATTATTTTAACTCAGTATAAGCAATAAAGCTTCCACTTAGAAAATCAAAAGATCTTGGATTTTCAAATTAAGAATTTCTCCAATATAAATAAATTAACCACTGCTATGTGCCACATTTTGTCGACTTGCTCCATATCTCGTCTTATACCACACGCTATAACGCCATGAAAAATTTTATGCACACTTAGCACCATCCTATATTATGGTTAGTCAAAGATTTCTACTTAAACTGCAACAAAATGATTGACTAGTCTATAATGGTTTGAGGCTAAATAGGACAGACACGGACACGCAACACTCACACGACAAGAACATATTGACATGTTGATTTTGAAAAAGGAGATTATTAGTAAATCTTTTTCCAAGTACTTGTATCCCAATTAGTCCATAACATATTCTTGTATTCCAATAAATCTAATTATTTAGAAATTTGATCCACCAAATCCTAATTCTCATATTTAAAATATCTTATAAATAATTGTACCCTTACAAATATTTTTTGAAAAATTAGCAACTTGGTGATGTGAACGTTCATATTTTACAATGTGAATATTATCATTGACGTGTGAATATTCACATTAACGATGTGAACATTTACATTAACAGTGTGAATGTTCACATCACAGAATATTCACACTATCAATGTGAATCTTATTATTAAGGGTATTTTGGTAACTATGTTACCCATAAGAATTATTGAAACATAAAAAAATAATTTGAACTAAATAAAACATAAGAAGGTAAAGAGGGATTTATGAATAAGTGCCCCTTTTGAAAAAATGCAGGACATGAAATGTTTAGAACACGTTAAAATTTTATATATTTACAAATTTATTATATGTCATATCTGAATAATTTATTCAAAAATAATAAAAAAATCTGTAATATTACACTAAATATATTTTAAAAACTTGCATATATTTCATAATTTAATCCTCAATATATCATTAAAAAAATAATTTGAACTAAATAAAACATAAGAAGGTAAAGAGGGATTTATGAATAAGTGCCCCTTTTGAAAAAATGCAGGACATGAAATGTTTAGAACACGTTAAAATTTTATATATTTACAAATTTATTATATGTCATATATGAATAATTTATTCAAAAATAATTAAAAAATCTGTAATATTACACTAAATATATTTTAAAAACTTGAATATATTTCATAATTTAATCCTCAATATATCATTCATATAAAAATTACATTCTAAAGAATACAAAAAAAAATTATAAAACATTATAATACACATGATGTGTTCATCTTATAAATTTAGAGTACATAAGTTGTGTTTTGAAGGATGCAAAACATTGTTATTATGAACTGATTTATCACATAGGACATGTTCGAAGGTTTAAAGATTACAATAATAGAAATATGATGTTTTTTTAAGACACATTGAACAAGTGTCAAACACGTTTTTAGAAGTATCCGAAAGTGTCGGTGTCCAACACGACATGCTTTCTCCCTAGAACTGTCTGTGCTTCTTGGGTTTGAGGACTCCAAAATAAAAACAAATCAAACAATACAATTGAAATCTTAAACAGTTCATTTATTTACAAATTGTTTAATGATGACACATATAGTGTAAGACTGTAACTGTCTGATTTGTCTGAACAGCATACAATATGATCAGTACTTGCTCAAGTGTATATATACATAAATATTCATTATTAAAAAAAAAAAATACTAATACTTATGAAAAGAAGCTTACAAGAAAGAGGAGACAACAGTGAAGTAGAAAGATAAGGTTGAAATTCAAAACTCCACAAGTATTGTTGTTTCATAATTTTAATCATCACAACCAGTTCTTTTTTTTTTTTTTTTGGTTAGAAAAGGACATCTAATACACATTAGCTGAGATTATTCCCTAGGAATGCTCATGAGCACTGAAAACTATGAGTGCCAGAAGATGCCTATTGATTAGAAATTCATATTTTGTGAAGAGAGAGGACAATTTAGGTCAGTCAAATTTCCAATCATATCAAGGTGAACACGAAAATTAATGCACCTTTGATCCAAAATGCTAGACATGTCAACTATAAAATTTACAGCTCTTTCTCCCCAGTTTTCATTGGGCAGCATAGAAAGTAATGAATCAAAACTAACATAACCTGAAGTTTTTCGCTTGGTGCATTCTTCTAGTAATAGCACTTCACTCATACACAGAAGTACATATACACGCATTCATGTAAAATGCAAATTTTGGACAAAAAGGCACAACAATGATCACACGATATGAAGCCAAAGCAAACCAGAAACAAACAAGTAGTAACAGCATCCAAGTCTATAGCAGAGTGTATACCATATGTCTCAATATAGTGCCCAAAAGTGGTATGTGTATATGGTACACACCAAAAAGAAGGTGTTATAGCAGCAGTAGCACAACTCAACAACATAGTTGTTTTATATCTAAATTCCAGAACAATTAAGTTATGCAAATTAAAAATTAAAAAAAACATGTTTATTTTGTAGAGATCTAGGACTATCTTTTCAGGTTCTCAATTCTACTTGAGCAATGCATTATCCATATCTTCATATATCTAAGGCTAGCCCTGTCTTATCACATTCTGGTATAAGCAACACTAATTTTCTATCTTCATATATCTAAGGCTAGCCCTGTCTTATCACATTCTGGTATAAGCAACACTAATTTTCTGCATCTTACTTGCCAATGCATCGCATTGTTCCATCAAATTGATTCTTTCAAATAATGTATGGCATCTAAGGATCACTTTCCCTTGGAGCTAAGATCCTGCTAGTGTCTAATAGAATTGATATGCATATCAATTCAATCTGAAACTAGCAGGATCTTCAAATATAAATAACAATTGGTACATACCATTACAAAACTTGCACAAAATTCACCACAACTTCAATTAAATAGCAATGACAGATCAAAACCAATAATTAAACAACCAAGAGCAAGTTGAAGTTTTTAAAAGTGTTATACCGTAAGAAGCAGAGTTCCAGCCATTATAATCTCATTCCGTGACATCGGCCCCATCTTCGCCAACCTCTCTTTGGCGAGTTTGGGCGCATCGGGACTGCTCTTCACCGACGGCGGATAGATCAGATACAAAAGGAAAGGTACAACAATCAGAGACACCAATCCAGGCACTATCGCAGCCTTGGCCCAATCCATCCACCCAATTGTCTGATTAATCGCATTCAATGCCAAATTCGCACTCAGAGGATTCGCAGCCATGGCTGTCAAGAACATCGCCGACGAAATCACCGAAGTCTGAAAGCAAGTCAACATCAACCACGAACCCAACTTGTGCTCTGTCCCATCTCCCACATTGCTACCACACGCAACGCACAATGATTTCACCAATGGCAAAAAAATTCCACCGGCTCGAGCAGAGACTGATGGAATTGCCGGAGCTAATAAGGCTTCGCTGAAAACTAAACTGTACCCTAACCCTAGTGAAGAACTACCGAATAAAGAAACAAATTGGTAAGCGATTCTGTTGCCGAGACCAGTCTTGATGAACCCTCTGGCGAAGAAGAAGGCGAGAGCGATTAGCCATGGAATCGGGTCGCCGAAGGCGGAGAAGGCGGCGGCGAAGGTTAAGGTTTTGGTGAGGACGCAAGCGCCGAGACCCATTAGAGCCACCGCGCCGAGAGGAAGCGGCTGAGTGATGATTCCGATGATGGTGGCTAAGAAGATGGACAACAATTGCCAGGCGTTTCGGGAAACTCCGGCGGGTTGAGGAACGAACCAGAGGATGATTCCGGTGGCGAGGGAAGCAATTAAGGGCTTCATCGCCGCCCCCTGCCATGGCTGCGGCGGCGGCGGCTTCGCCGGAAAAGCAGCAGCCGAGGCTTTGACAGTGAGATTTCGGGTCGGAACTGAAGAATTGTAGGTGGTGTGGGTCTTGGTGACGGACTTAAATGTGAAGCTTGTTCCAATATATGGGTTTGTGATCAGTGAGTGTCGTTTTGAGTGGTTTCTTTGATTTTGAGTGTTGGATTTGAGATTGAGAGTTGGTGATGATGATGATGATGACGATGATGATGACTTTGAAGACCGAGTTCTACAAGTGGGCAGAGATCGAAAACCCAGATTGACAGAGGAGGTGAGAGGTAGGGACGCCATCGCTGTAATGGCGTTGTTAGAGAGAGAGAGAGAGAGAGAGTGAAGATTTGAAGATCTGTATGTATTTCAAAGAAGCATTTTGTGGTGCGGGGAGGGGCAGAAATGGAGATTATGAAGAAATCTAGGGGCATTTTATAAGCGAAAAGGGAAGAATAAATCTGGCCCGTTAAAACATGATCCAACGGCAAGTGTGGTTTTGGAATATACAATTTGCAAGAGAGAGAGAGGGGGTAATTGTTGAGTAATCTTAGGCCCCGTTAGTTTCGAAGTATGAGAGGGGGATTACGATTAGATAACTATGGGTTCCATTTAATGTGTTGTTTGTTTGTAGAGTTAAGGAAGAGGCTATTAAGTCGAAAGGCTTAAGATAAGCCTTGCAGACGAGATTCAGATAGGTTTTCAGAACTTAATATTAAAAAAATAGTCCGACGGGTTAAAAAATTTTTATTTTTATTTATTTTTTACATGTTGAGCATTTTTTTTTTTGAACATTAATATTTAATTTTTTGTATTTTTTGTTAAGTAAAAATTATTTTTTTTATTTTTTTATTTTTTTTTATTTTTTAAAATTTTTTACATGTTGGGCATTTTTTTTAAAACATTAGTGTTTAATGTTTTTGTATTTGTTTTATTATTTTATATTTATTTTATATAAAAATAATTTAACAATTCCTACACTAACAACTATCATCAAAATAAACACAATTTTACTTAATCCCCTCACTAACAATTCTCTCACTATTAATTCTCTCACTATCAATCCCCTTCATTATACCTTTGAAAACAAACAGGGCCTTAGAGTATAGACACGTTATATTTTATAGTATTATGATTAGTGAAGAAGATGGGTAGATGAGGTATTATGGCCTTATTTGTCATAATCTAAAAAAGTCAAAAAGTCATTATTCTATTTGAGTCACATCATCTTATTTAAGTTACATCATTTCTCTGGCTTGGTTTGGGAAGTGGGTTGGCTTTTTGGCTTTTTGGCTTTTTTTGCTATTTTAGCCTGGGCTAAAAAGCTTGGTTTGGGAAGGGCTTTTTGACTTTTTGGCTTTTTTTACTTTTTTTGTGAGAGAAGAATGTAATGATTATGGGTTGGATGTGATGTTTTGTTTGTTATGGCTAAAATAGCCTATTTTGTTTTTTGTGGCTAAAATAGCCAAAAAAGCCTGAAAACTAACTTGCCAAACAGAGGCTCTATCACGTTACTTCAAACTCAATCCATATCCGACCCATATTTTATAAAAAATCAAAAAGTATATTTATTTAGATCATTTCAAACCACATTTATGCTACTTAATTAAAAAATATTAGTAGATACTAAATAATGATTAGTTAAATTAAAAAATATTGGTAGATACTAAATAATGATTAGTTAAAAAATATAGATATGCAGGGCATTTTGGAAAGAAGTTAAAAAAATCAATTTTTTGATTTTTTTAATTTTTTTAGTCAAAAAAATTAATTTTTTTATCCAAAACAACCTAAACTTTTGTAAAAAAAATCAAAAAATTAATTTTTTACGAATTTCCCAAAACACCCCGTAATATTCTAACAATATTGAATAATTTGCCGACGGAAAGAGAGAGTGCATTTTGTAAGCTCCGTCTTTGAAATGTCCGTCTAAGAAGGCCAGATGGATGTTGGAGTTATGCAGCGGGGTGGGTTAACATGCGCCGAGGTGGATCGATGGTGAGTGGTGTAGAAAAAGAGTGAAAAGGTGTCACACGTGGCCATCTATGGATGGACGGGTTGTTGGAAGCTTTGTTTGGAAGTTGGCGGTGGGCGAGATCCAGAAGAAAACATGGCATAGTGGGGAGTTTCTCACTACACCCATTAATTAATTTTCTACACCCATCTCTATCATTTTTTAAAAAAAATTTATTTAGAAGTCTTTTCTCAAAAAATATAGGAAAATGTTAGAGGTCTCAAATTTTCTACTAAATAAATGACCAAATGTCTGTGGGGTCCACAAAATTGCAGACCCCACACCTATGTGAGACATTTGGTCATTTGTTTAGTAGAAAATTTGATATCCCTAACATTACCCTTATAATAATTATGTTAAAGGGTTGATCATCCCATGTTGGTGTTATAGTATAATATAATATTATAATAATTATGTTAAACGGTTGATCATCCGATGTTGATGTTTACAGTAGGGTAAATTACACTAACACCCTTTGAGTTTTATATTTATTATAATTTTTTTTTTAATATTACATCTGTCTTGAGGTTTAAAGTTTCATTATAAATTTCTTTTTAATAATTTAATTTTTTTAAATACATATTTTGCCCTCACTAGGTAAATTACATTGACACTCCTTGCATTTTAGAAATTTCAATCTCTTTCCAAAAGTTTAAAGTAGCATTATCAAATGCCTCCTTAGTTAGTATTAGTTGGAAAAAAAATTTATTGAAAAAAAAATTAATTGGAAAAAAATAAATTGAAAAAAAATTTGTTAGTAAAATTTTTAAATTTCTGTTTAAAAACCAAAATAAACTCATTTTTTGAATTTACGTTTTTTTTTTAAATTTACAAACTGAGACAACCATTTATGAACCAAAAAAATTATCAAACAAGTTTTTATGATAGTTTTTAAATTTTTGTAAATATAAATTGAAAACTGAAAACGAAATGGTTACCAAACAAGTTTCAGATAATAAGAATGTCATAAAATTAACAAATAATTAAATAAGTTACCAACATAAGAAATGATTATCAAAAGATTCTTAGGCTATGCATGATTTGATTTTTAAAATTTTTTAAAAAAAAATTAAAAATTAATCTGGTTAAGAAATAAAAAATAAAAAATATTTATCATTTTTATATAATTTTTATCTTTCGAGTGGTTAGAAATAATTTTTTACAAATTAAATTAAAACAGCCATACGTATATATAACTTGCCCAAAAATTAAAATGATAATTATTTTTTACCCTTAAATGATACTTATTTTTTATTTTTTATTTCTTAACCAAATTAATTTTTAATTTTTAAATTTTTTTTTCTAAAAATCAAACCATACATAGCCTAAGAATCTTTTGATAAGTCATTTCTTACGTTGGTAACTTATTTAATTATTTGTTAATTTTATGACATTTCTACCATCTGAGGTCTATTTGGTAACTATTTCGTTTTCAGTTCTCAATTTATATTTACAAAATTTTTAAAAAATGTCATAAAAACCTATTTGATAATTTTTTTGGTTTATAAATAGTTGTCTCAGTTTGTAAATTTGAAAAAAAAAACGTAAATTTAAAAAATGAGTTTACGTTGGTTTTTAAACAGAAATTTAAAAATTTTACTAACAAAATATTTTTTCAAATAATTTTTTTTTTCAGTTAATTTTTTTTTCAACTAATACTAATCGAGAGACAATTGATAATGCTACTTTAAACCTTAGGTAAGGAATTGTAATTTCTAAAATGTGAGGGGGTGTTAATGTAATTTATCCAATGAAGGCAAATTGGTATTTAAAAAAATTAAATTGCTGATGGAGAATCTGTAATAAAACTTTAAACCTCAAGAGAGAGATGTAATTTTCAAAAAGTGAAGAAAAACTGTAATAAATATAAACCTGAGAGAGTGTCAGTGAAATTTATCCTTTATAGTATAATATAATATTATAATAATTATGTTGATGTTTATAGTATAATATAATATTACAATAATTATATTTATATTTATGTCATACGTACACATAAAATAATACACAACTGTGATTACGTCATCTCTTTTCTCATTAATACATTGTCATACTCCCACTTTATAAGACCAATACATAAATAAATAAATTATACTTTGTCCTTTAAATTTTTAATTTTTTTTTTATATTTTAACTCTTAAATTTTCTTTTCTCACTTTGCTTCTGTTTAATTTTTTTTAATATGTTTAAGAATTGATTATTTTAGTTAATTTTTTTTGACTTTTTATTAAAAATATACACAAAAAATAAAAAAATAAAATAATAATTTATAATAATTTTTTAATTTTTTAATTATAAACCTAACTTTTCAAGTGAAGTCTCAAAACAAACTTTCATATAATCTTAACAACAATGATAGAGACCACTAATTTTAGAGTTCTAAAAAGATCACTAATGACATGACACTCAATAAAAAAAAAATACAACACCAAGGTCAAAACATCAAATCATTCATAGTGGGACCCACTGCCACATCATTAATGATGACACTAATTAGTACTCTCACTCATTTTCCTAATTTTAAACCCAGTTTAGCAGTCGCATGGCGCCATGTGGATAACCAAGTAGCATAAAAATGAATAAGTTATATTTTGTTCTCTTAAGTTTCATAATTTTTTCATTTGATTCTTAAAATATTTTCTCTTTTCACTTTGGCTTTTAATGTTTGGAATGTTTCTCAATTTACTTCCAAAATAAAAAACTATCCAAGTCATGTTGCATAAAAATAAATTATATAAAAATTTGATTGAGTTTTCATAACTTATTTCATTTACTATTATATCCATGACTTATGAATCTATGGTCATGTTTATTTGGGCGGACTGGATTAGCATTCCCATGACTAATAGTCCTAGGATTACAAATTCGTTGGATTTTGTATCTTATCTTAACTAATAGTCAAGTTTAAAATAATTAGTCCATACTTCAATTGTTTAACCAAACATCGGATTAATAATTTTATTGCACTATTAGTCCAATCCCAAGCTCATATCCACCCAAACAAACATGGCCTATAAGTCTTATCTCACATTAAAATATTACAAATGAAATATACCAATATTTGAAAATGTAATAAGATAATAGTATTGTCACATTTTAATAATGACAAATTTGATAAAAATTTAATAAGACAATAGCACATACATTATAAGAATGATACATTTAACAAAAGTTAGAAGACAATAGTAAGCAAATGAAATATATTTATATTTAGAATCTCTTGAAATATGGTGAAAAGACCTCGCAGTATACATGTTTAAATTTAATAGTCTATTAAAAAATGAGTAATGGTAAGGCATTGTTTGGAGACTAGATGTTTTAGTTGAAAAGTTAAAGTCACTATAAATTGTCTCATTATTTTTTTTTAAATTTTTTTACA